AAATCCTTGAAATAGGTAAGTATATTTTCTCTTAGTTAAATTATTCACTGAAATTGTGATTTTTATCTTGTATATTGAAAATAATTATAAAAAAAAAAATTGGGTTGCATCACTCCCCGCGACCATTAACGTCAGTATCGAGTGCACACCTGATCCCGGGCTAAAACATTTTGAAGTTTTCTCGCTTTAAATTTTAAAAAAAATAACACAATTGTTATTCATTGGAAATTTGCATATTCTTTTTATTACTTAACATTTATTCTAAATGCTAATTCTGCGAGGCTTAAAATTACAGTTCCTTCATAACCGTTTATAATATGAGTATTCATTTCAATAAATCATTTTACATTTTTGTATACATTGTCATGCACTTGGTTTTACTCTCCTTACAATTAAGCTATTATATCAAGAATAATATATTATCATTTCTTAAAAAAAATAAACTCGTGTTAAGAGTGGGTACTTCAGCCAGTATAAGAACAAGTTTAATAATTATTAGTGACTTCCATGGGCTTGTCTTGCAGAGCTAAGTTTTTCAAAGGAAGGCTAAAAATGTGAAATTGGCACTTAGAGTTATTTTTTGATATTTAGCTCAGATCTATATTTTGTCTTCAAAGTAGCCATCGCAGAAAATCCAGATTCACAAAGGTATGTTGTTAAAAATGGTAATAGTATACGAAATGCTTTTGGTTTCAGTGCAGAAAATTCAGCATCCACCTCTATCCAGAATTCAAAGAGTGATTTATTACAAAATTGCCCTTTAATTTCGTCACTGGATGTGAAATCTATGGAGATCTCTTTTTCGGCAGTTGAGAGCCCTTCTGAAGTATTTTGAAATGGATCCCTAACCCATTCATAACTTGCTATCAATTTGCTATCAATCGTCTGTGTCTTGTTGATGCTTTATTATCGTCGAATGCTCGCTGCGATTTAAAAATATATCTATATGATTTTGTTTTAATCCACTGCCGCGTAAATACTTAATACCGTGAATTACAATTAACGAGTGAATTGTGAAATGTACATTCACAAGAGAGATTCGGTATCTAATCGATTTGGCCAAGACTGACTAGAATTGTACGAGGTACAGCATTCTTACATGTTTTGTGCAGACGTCCGTTAGGTTGCCAAGACTCACGTGAACGTTCGCGAGAATGCCAGATGTAATGAATATGATAAAGAGCAACGCGCGCGCGCGCAGATTAGGCTATTTTTTAATGACATATGTACTTTTAGAAATGGATATTGAATGAAATAAATCTTTAATTAAATATTATTTCTCAATCTGTTTCAATTTCAAAATTAGAGAAAAAAAATAACATAATTAACCTATTACTTAAAAGTAATTTATTTAAAATATATATTACTTAAGAGTACCATATATAAA